TCATGCTATAGTTAGAATAGGTAAATGAAAAGCATGCAAGATGATTATCCTCTATCAATTGTGTTCAGAGAAAAGAATATCTTTATTTCTTGCACATGTTTGAAAAAACCATACTTCGAAAAAAAATATTACACCCCATCTTATGATAAGGTTTTAAATATGTAGCATAATTTTTCTATTGTACATTCAGTACTCAATCTACCATATAAATAGTTAGGAAAAATAATTGGCTTCATTTCCAACTGAGGAAATTTAACATTTTTTCATTTTAGAGCTAAATTTTATAAGGCTCAATTTCCTGCAGCATATACCATGCATACCATTCAAATTCTCAATTGTTCTCTGCATCAAAAATTTTCACTCAAAACCATTACAAAATACCAACAGAAACATCAAGCAAATTCACGAAGAAACCAGAAACCAAGTAGTCTAAGAAAGATGGGTGCTACTCAAAAAACACATCAAGCAAATTCACGAGGAGACCAATGCAGCTAAGTGATAGAGGATATCGAAGGAAGAAGTAAAGATGTCCAGAAAGAATGCGAGAGTGGGACAATTAGGGCAAAAGACACGAAAAAAATGTGAGGGCGAGACAGTTAAGGCAAAAGATGCAGGGTCGATCTGATTCACGAAGTCGAGAGCAACTACATCAAAATAAGGCAAAGAAACTCTGAGGCCCACGTGCAGCGAGCAAAACGCGAGCAAAATTCTATTAATCACTCATTTATTGTTTCTATCACACAAAAGACTTAATGCATTCCTCCACTTCAACCAACCAACTTGAATTCTATTAAAAATATCTCCATCTATATAACCATCACTTTGAATAATAGACCCGAGATATCTAAACTGTTCACACCTTTTAATGATTTGATCATCCAGAGTTACAACTCTGTCACTAGAACTGCTACTACTAAAATAAAATTTAAAGAGCCAATAAGATAATTACAAGAAAATTTTAATAATAATAAAATTGAAATTTTAAATTAACATTAATTAAATAAAAATTTTAATTGAGGTTAAAGGATGCATCTGAGATTCAGGAAGAGGGAGAATATGGTAGAAAATGAATAAATAGTGTCTAATGTTAATACAAATGTTCTGACTTAGATGATGGAGGCGATAACTCGGCTGATTCATTAGTTCATATTAACGCTTATTAGAAATAATATAGTTGTTGTAGATAAATATTTGAAGATATTTTAAGATCAACATCCACCATTATTCAAGAGAACTGAAGATCCAATTGAAACGAAGAACTAGCTAATGAGGATAGAAAAGACGTTGGGTATCATGGCTTGTGCAGATGAAAAAAGAGTACCTTTAGTTACATTTGTGCTAGATGGAGAAGCTGAAAGGTGGTGGCGTGTGCAACATCAGAATATGTTAGAGGACATACACAACATGATAATAAGTTGAGAGAATTTTATTGAGCTTTTAAGATAGAGGTTTGTTCCTTTATCCACATGAAGACAGATCAAGACAACTTTATCAAGTTGATACAAGAGAGAAGTCAGTTATACAGTATGAAGAAGAGTTTACTGCGTTGTCAATGTGTGCTCCACTGCTGATACCTACTGTAGAAGAGAAGTGCTAAAAATTTCTTTCGGGCTTAAAGAATTTGATTAGGCAACTGTTGGTGCCATTGAGGATCGACGACTATTCCTTGTTAGTGAAGCGAGCTAGACGAGTAGAGATTCATTTCTAACTTAATCAGAAGCATAAGGAGACACAAGAGAAAGAGTTAAGGTGAAGAAGCCCAAATTCAATTCTGACAGATTAAGTGGTGGCACTTCTCATGGTACCATAGTCACTTGTGTCAAATGTAAAGAACAGCATAAAGGTGAATGTTTGATGGGCTCTCATACAAACCACTAGTGTCATTAGCCTGGTCATATAGCTAAGTATTGCCCTTCACTTGACCAGAAAACCTCAGAAGAGCAGAAACCAAGTGGAGTTCTTTCACGGAATATTTTAGGTGGGCAAAAAAGGATAGAGTCAACAGCTTCAACTCCTGGTCATGGTCAATCAAGATCGCTAGTTCAACCTCGAGTTTTTTTCTCGTACTAGTCGAGAACTTAAAGAATCAACTGTTGATATTGATGCTACTAAAGATTGATGAGTGTTATGTTTCATCATATGTTATAAGTGAATCATTCTAGTTTATGACTTTATCAAAGGTTGACTTCCGTTAATGTTATTTTACCTTACTTAAGAAGTGATGTTACCATATTTCAGTTGATGGGAGAAGTTTACTTAAGTTTACTTGAGTTATCTTATATCAAACCTTTATTTTATTATATCCATGTTTCAACTTGTTGAATGAGATTTAAACTTCATGAAAATTTATCGATAATTTAAGTTTCCTTGCTTGATAAGAAGTACTTTGAGGCTTGGCGTAGATTTGCAAATTTCAAAGATGAATTTTTTATAAGGAGGGAAGATTGTAATAACAAGAAAAAAAAAATGAAAATGAAAATAAAGTTAATAATCGAATAAACATGCGCCTCTTTGTTTTTAGGAGTTGGATATCCCATTCGAAGAGAGCAGAAACCGAACAAGGGAAACAGAGAGCGAGAGAGAGGGAGCGTGAGAAATAGAGAGAGTGAGATAGAGGATAAACCGTGCATAGAAGAAGAGGAGGAGGAGGAGGAAGAAGAAAGGAGGAGGAGGAAGAAGAAAGGAGACGAGCAACTCATTTGACGTGTTGTTTCCCTCCACATTGTTCTTGACAGGGCATGAGCGATTGTCGATTGCTGCGAGTAGAAAGAGGAGGAAGGAGAACAGGATCCGAGTCATTTCCCCCCAACAAAACAAGTTACCTCATGTGAGACACTCAGCGCAGCCCTCCTGTGCCCTACCAAAGCAAAGAAGAGGAAGAAGAGAGCTCGAGCAGCTGGTTTGAAGGTTCGAGCTAAAAGCTTGGTGAGGAACTGTGCTCGCAAGAGTGGCATTACGTGCTTGACCGAGCCTTTATGTTCGGTTCAGGCAAGACAGCGGTTTTTTAAAAAAAGGTAATAAATTAAATTTCATTAGTTAAGTTATTAATTTTGATTATTTAAGAAAAACTTCAGAAAATTATTATATTGAATTGATTTTGATGTTTGTTAATAATTGTCTAATGTAATCGGCGTAGGAGAAAAACAAATTTTGCTGCAGAAAGAAATTCAGGTATTATGCTTATTATAAAATGTATAATAATTTTTATATAATTAAATTAGGTTTAAAAGGCAATTTAAGGGTTTCTAAGTTAAGTATGTTAAAAGTTTTGAAAAAAAATTATTTAAAAGCAATATTGTATAAAATATAGTAATACAAATTGATGAGGTATCCTAATATTAAAATGAAATTTTGGCTAAATTAATTAGTTGTATGTTTCATGAAAACTAAAAGAAATTGGATGACTATATTTATATCGGCATATGTAAACATTTGTATAAATAAATTAATACTTAAATAAAATAATAAATTAATAAACTTTTGTAATGAATACTATATTTATCGCAACTTCAATTTTAGAAGAGACGAGATAAAGGCAAGTAAAAAATAAATAAATCGACACCGATGCAGGTCCTTATACTTTTAAACTATAATAATATTGATTTCTCTTTAGTTTGATTCATTCTATGACTTGCTTGGATAGATTTTACTAGCTCTTCAATTTTATTTGATCATATCAAGTCTATGTCACTAATATTTTCATGTTATTTATATGCATAATTCATTATTTTGATTGTTTGCACGTGCATGTTTGACTATGATGGAATCATCTATTAATGATACTAGTGGGGAACGTTAAGATACCCGCGCATGAAAATAGAAAATGATATTGACATTGAAGTGTCTTAAATGATAAAATTTTTAAATGGTGCTACTGAGACGGATGTATATAGATTAAAAATTTATTGATATCTAAATGACATAGTAAGATATAGTGAAAGTTTAAAATCACCTTGATTGATCATATTAAATAGTACTATTCGTCAATTGCCCTTATATTTTTTTATACTGTTTAATTGGCATGCATATTATCTCCATTTTCATTAAATTACTACAGTTTAAGAGCATAAGTATTCACTACCTCTGTTTAGTTTACCGTTGCTTTAAACTAATTTTTCAGGATTAATTTATTTGATTAAAAGATGAACAATAACAAAGAAAATATTTATAGAAAATGCTGAAATATGGTAAATTTATATGTTTTACCTAAATTCATTTTTTATAGTGGCAATTTCATTTTAAAAATATTGGTTATAGAAAATAAATTATAGAAAAATTTAGTTCCCACCGTCCGACCGTCTAGTCCTACCTTAGTTAATTCCAAGTCCCGGGCCAAGTCGTGACAGCTTTCAATTGAAAATCCATAAAACCAAGGAAGAATAATTATAAAATATCTACAATAACACACAAATTGACAAGTAAAAACCATACTAATTATAGAACAATTAAAATAATTCACAAATTGATGAGTACATGGCAGAGATCCATGATTAGTTTAGGTCTCAACAGGCAAAAACTATGTAGGTGTTTCACAAGGGATATTGATCCTCAATGTGGATAAGCAAGAGAACGGTTGAAATTAATATAAAGTGGATAATACTCCCACATCATGTGAAACAAGAGTTGAGTTTTAGCATAGTAAAATTGGCCCTTAATCATTAAGTTAAGTTTTAGAGTTGATTAGCGTCTTATTTTTTATTTTTTTCTTTTTTCTGTTCATCTATTAGGGCATTGTGTTTTAGTTGGGAAAACAAAGTTTCAACCTCCTAACATGTGTGGGTTAGGATACAGTTCATAAATATTGTGGCAGCAATACAGGCATAAAATTTTTTATTAATCTGCGCTTCCTAGAGACTAGTGAGAGGGAAATGAAGAAATCACTAGTTGGTAAGTGTTCTATAAAAATTTAATAAACATGAAAAACAGTATCTCATTTAAAGAGTAGCAGATCAAAACCTGAAGAAATCGTATAATTAAGATTAAATTTTAAAGCATCTTACTTTAGAGAAAAAGGAACCACATAGTTCTGGTGCGCGATACCATCTTGTTGCCACATAATCCTACAGCATCAGAGGAAAAAGAATAATCCAATTAATAATGTATTTTTTCCCCCAACAGCCTCCAATTTTAACGCATGCCTCCCTAAATACTAAGTACGGAAGCTAACAAAAAGAAACGCAATATTCAATGGATTTGAAAAATATTTAAGTATAAATGTAGATTCAATGAAGAGATGATGATGCAATACAGTCCAAAAAATAGCCGAAGGAGCATCATTAAAAGACACCCGGGCAAGTCCAAAGTCACAGATTTTTAGCTTGCAGTCAGAATTGGCAAGAATGTTTTTGGGCTTCAAATCTCGATGAAATACATTTGCTGAAAGAAAAAAAACAAGTAATGAAACAGAATTAAGGGCTCAGAAATAAGCAAAAACATATGATACAATAAACCAAATAACCAGTCATTGATGCCAACCAGAATGGATATACTTCAGAGAACGAAGAAGCTGATACAAGAAAAATTGGTGATGCTCAGGAGTAAGGTCATCATTTGCCTTTATAACTTGATGAAGATCTGATTCCATCAGCTCAAAAACAACATATATATCTCTAAATTCTCTACGAGATGGAGGCAGCATTATGTGCTTAATTTCTACAACATCAGGATGCCGAAGCAGCCTAAGAAGCTTGATCTCTCTAAGAATTCGAGTTGCATCTGAAACATGCTCAAAGACATCATTGATCTTTTTGATTGCGACCTTCTCCCCAGTTTTAGTGTCCACTGCCGCCCCTACTGTACCATAACTTCCCCTTCCAATAACCTCTATTATCTCATATTGGCTAGCTTCACCATATTCAGTAAAAAACTCTGTTTGAGGGTTGACCTAAACATTTATAAAAGCAAGCTGTTAGAAACTGCACACTAAATAAAAAGACACGTTCACTCAAAGAACAAGAGAGAGCAGCAGATCCTCATCTTTCTCAGAGAAAAACATCGATGATCCAATTTACCAATAAAGAAAGTAGCTCATTAATTGACACAAAAAAGTTGGTAACATGAAAAAACACAATCTACATGCATGAATATGTAATGATTGAATGATTGAAATGGACGGAGAAATAAAGGGAACATAAAAGGAACAATGAAATTATACTATATTATCTCATTCTCTAATATCACACGACTAATGCAGTGGGTAGATTTTATACGCCTTTAAATATTCTATAACTAATGGTGTCTACTTAATGGAAAACCATGAACTTGAATATTGAACCATATGAAAGAAGTTTTCAGATTTGATCTCTCTTCCTGAGATTCTAATGTATATCTTTCTCCCACTAACATTCCACCCCTAATTGCTGAAGGTCACACACCCTCCAAGTTTTACACATCATATTCTACATCAATGTCAAATGGGATCCATTGAAGCATCAAATTGATATCAAAGAAAAGTACAAGACTGCAACAAAAAGAGAACAACCCCAAACTTCATCCAAGTCACTGTACATATTGAGAAAAACAAGTCTTTTCACGCACAAACAATTTTGGCATTATGCCAAAAATCATGTATTGGTGTAAGAAATTGACCTGTCATGCTAACTCGACCTGAACGCGATATAAAAAAAACTGGGTTCAGGTTGATCCGAATAATATTCTGGACAGGTTCTAGTTAGGAATTCTAACCTGTTTAATTTTTTCAGGTTGGGTTCGGGTTAACCTCCCAACTTGAATTTGATCTGAAGTTGACCCGCTGACATAAAATTGACTCAAAATCGACATGTAAACCTAAAATTGATCCAAAATTGACTCAAAATCACCCTAATTTTGATCTAACTTTGACCTGAATAGTTGTTATGTCGTATGTTAAATGGATTATACAGGTCAAGTATAGGTTAGCATGTCGGGCTCGCGTTGGATTTTCAGTCAAGTTTAATATTCAGGTCATGCAGTTTCAGATCGGCTCATTTTCAAGTCAAACCAAAACTCTACCAGCAAAGCAGATTTGACATCCCTAGAAAATCCTAATGTCTTCTCCAATACAGGTTTTTTCCAAATAATGTGCAATTATGATAGAGTAGTTGTCTCCATGGATAAATCCATAAAATAACTATCACAGAATGAGTAGGTTGTAAGCAAATTAGTACAATGGATGACTTGTTCACATAATGCTTGTTTATTTTAATACTTTAATAAACATTGACTCATTTGTTCATTTATATTTGTGAATATGTTTATTTGTTGTTAACTAGTAATTCATAAAATAATCATTTAATGAGTACTTAATTGCTTATTTGATGGTTAATATGCATTCTTGTATCAATTTTTATCATCATATACATTTTAAAATTTAAGTAAAATATTAAATTTATAATTATGATGAATGCATTGAGAAAGTAAATTAATATATCAAAAAAATATCTATTGTTAATACATTTAAATAATACATAGTTGTAGTAGCTTTAATAAAGATTGAGATTGTATTTATGTTTGATTATAAGCTTACATTTTTAAATAATTAAAATCCTACAAATAGTTAGTTAAGTTTGATTGAATCTTGATTATAACTTAAAATATATTTAAAAAAATAAAAAATTAAGCTTGAATAAGATTTTGAAATCTAGATCATGTTCAAGTACAACTCGAGAAAAGAAGTTAACTAAGAAAGAACAAGGGAGTAAATCTGGCTCAATTCGATTTATCTATAACCCTAAAAATGAGTGAGTGGGAGAGAGAGAGAGAGAGAGAGAGAGAGAATGATCTTAACCAATAAACAACCACAGAATTTGATCATAGAAGTTCTTTAACAAGAAGCAATTCTGTTACACATGTGCATATATTAATGTAATTAATCTAATGATTGGAATAATGAAGGGAACTTTGAATTAGAAGCAGGCATTAAAAAAAACCTTACTATCAATTTTTCTTATAACATCACCACTGTTCAGGTTTTATAACGTCCTACGAATTTCATAACAAAGATTCTTCACCTAACAGAAAAGCAAGAAATTGTGAATGAATCCTAATTGAAAAAGACTTGTGACTCGATCTCCCTTCATGGATTATCTTTTATATATCTCTCCTACTAAAAACCCACTATTGCTTAAGTGCTCAGTTAACCGGTCTCCTAGATCTACAAATCACACGCTACACCAATTTGATATCAGATGCATCGATATTACACCAATTTGGCATCATCGGAAATTCCAATACTGCATCAACCATGGCACAATTCTGAAATCCATCCAAGTCATCGTAAATATTAAAAACAATTCAGCCTTCTCATGCACCAGCAATTTGGAGTTTGATAATCGGAAAAAAAAAAATCCCTAATGCCTCTCCAATCCAAGCATTTAAAAATAATGCGCACGAAAAACCCATTACAAGAGAAAGAAATAGAATAATAAAGTAAGAAAAAAATATCTTCGACGACGAATGGTGGATCAGAACATACCTTTTTCTGTGGATTATTGGCCATTATGATCAGATTATGCTAGTATTCGCTAAAGGCCGCTGAGAGCGAATTCAGCAACGAATGAGACTCTCCACCATCTCTTCTTCCACCTGTCCTTGATCCTATCGTCGCCCAACGCGACAGTGGCTGACAATCGAGGTTGGCGTCGACGGGGATTGTCACCTCAAGATATAGAGAACGCGAGCGCAGTAGAGCGACAGATCCGTGGTCAGGGTATTGTGTGCCCTCCGGCGCCCGAATTTCTCGCGGATCAGGCCACCTCGCAACACCCTTCCTCGTTAGCGCGAGAAATCGCCGCCCGCTTCCGTCCATTTATGATCTATCGAATCTTACGTTCCTCAATTCCGATTAAAGAGCTTGGATGCATAACGGCCAGGAAGGCTTTAATTTATTGTCTCATTTAGTTTTGTTCAAAAGAGTTGGCGTGAAATCTATAAATTTAAAGGTGAATATTAAAAGATTGCAATTACTCAACTCGCACAAGGTTTGGTCGGATTAATTTGGAGATTTAATCGTATAAAATAATAAATATTTGAATTATTTTAAAAGTAAGACATTTAAATACTTTAAATAATATTATAAATAAAAATTTTAAGCTATAATATTTCTCTATTTTTAATTTAAATAACTTATTTATGGAATTTTTAATTTAAATATCTTATTTATGATCATCCCACCAAAATCACGGAATTAAAATTAGATAGTATTTGAAACGACTGATCTGTTGGATCGACCTACTTCTAGAAAGATCAATCATAGTTCTATGCAGAAATGATTCTATTTTTGGATTGAATTGACTGAATGATAAGTTCATGATTGAACTAGTTGGTTCAACCAAGTTCTTAATACTATGATTTTTACCATTCAAATTTGTTGGTTTTTTATTTTTTATAAATTGCTTTAATAAGTCAACTCAAATAAATATTTGTTATTGATGCTTTATGATTTTGGAAGGATTTATATGGGTTATAGGGCTCACCTTGCCCATAATATATATATATATATATATATATATATATAT